CTTTTCTGTCTTGGAGCTGAGCCTGTTTTCAAAATGGCCGCCGGTTCTTCTTCCTTTTTTTATGGCTGTTGGCAAGCAATGTTTTGATGCGCATTGCCGCCATCTACTGGAATGGAGTGGTGCATGTATGCCGGTTCTATAAAAGTTATTTTACGAAGAAGGTTTGTCCTCAAAATTTCAGTTTTCTGCACGAATAACAAATGCCTGTTTAAACAAGGCGACGCAAAAACCCTGAATTAATGTTTTAATTTTTTTTACAATGACTATTTTTGCACATTTATCTTGTCATTAGGCTGGAAACTGCTTTTTTTTTCAACATCCTCTAAAAATAATGACTCCATCCTCTTTTAGTAAAAGATTTTTATTTCATTTAAAACCTAAAAGTAGAAATAAAATTGTGATTCATTAAAACAAATGACATCATTGTCTAAATATGGCTAACAAAAAATTATAAGTTGACTTTTTAAAATATCATTTAACATTTGTGTCTGTAAACAAGTTTTATTTAGATAGACTGAAGGTGAAAAAGGTTATTTGCATTGTTAATGTTGGAAAGTTTTGTCCATTCTTCTTTGTAAAATCATACATAAGTCAGATTGGATGGAGGTCTAATGAGACACTAAGCTATGAAGAAAAATCAAGGTATTAAAACAACTAATTGTCTACATTGTTATGTGTTAATTTATATTTTTCCACAACCAGTTTGTGGAATGAATGAGTAGAAATGACCATATTAACTGTATTTCCCACAAATACAATTGAGGCAAATTCTAAAGTCATAAAATGAAACAGTTTGTGCTCTTTTCAGAGAAAACTCAAAAACATTTCTAAAGTGAAATAACAGTAACTTTTTTTTATTGATCGTCTGAATGCCTCTCAGCGCTACCATTTCTCAGCATTAAATAGGAAGCAGCTCCTCTGGGCTTTCCACCCCCTAATGTGGAGACTTCTGGGACCAGCAGGAAACTTACAGAGGAAAAACAAAAGCTGAGTCACTTGCTTTATTCCTTTGGGACTACTTAAACTTATTTTCAGCTATAAATTTCCTCAAACTGCAGAAACCTACTGTTGAATTCCTGAGGGATTGAGGAAAGGTGTTTGATGCTATTTCAACTATATGATGGGCTTTTTCAGCAGAATTTCGTGTATGACTTGTCATAAATGACTGGAAGGGATGTGACTTAAATTTAAGAGCACTCAGAATGGGAATGTATTTCTTGATGAATACTTCAGATCAATAAATGGATTTTTACACTGTGAATAAAAGGCGTCTACCAGCTTACAGTTGTCTCCTGATTATGCGTTTTGCCACATCTAAATGTTTCAGACAACCTGAATCACTTTAGTGACTTCCAGTTTACTAATAGGTTTCCAAACACACCATCAATCAGATTTAGGTCCAAATTTTGACCATTTTATTTACTTTTGCCATTTAGATGAAGATTTGTGCTTCGGATCGATGCCCTGCTGCATGACAGGAGGTGTAAATAATCCGAAATACATTTATTTATTTGCTTCCATCTTATTTTGGCGCTTTACGCCTTAATTTAGTATCAGATATGATTAACTTCCTGTTTGAGTTTGATGCTTTTATTTTGAAGGAGGAACGCCCGGCTTAACGGTTAGCGCAAAAAAAAAAAAAAAAAAAACTTAACGGAAGTACGGATTAAACGTGAAGAAAAGGCAACAGTGTATGATTATGATGTAAATAAGTACGTGTTTTACATATTATTTGTGACTAAAACTGTGTATTTGCTTATTTACACGCCAAAGCTGAAATTATTCAAACGTCAAGTCGGATGTTAGCTTTCGCTGTTCTTTTTTCATTTCCGCCATGAAAGAAAACCCCAACAGGAAGTCATAATTTCGAGTTTTAATGTCATAATTTCAAGAACAATTTAAGTAATAATTTCGACTTTCGAATTCACAATATCGACTTTTAAGTAATATTTATGAGATTCGAAGACAGTTTTGAGATAGTCTCATAGGCTTTGTCTCATAAAGACTTGGTATTTTGTAATTATGGCTTTGACAGACAAAATCATGACATATTTTTTCTCTTTTGCTCTCGAAAACTACTTTCTGTTGGGTTTTTATTTTGTCTTTCATGGCGGAAATGAGCTTCGGTGGTGTTTATGTCCCCAGTTTTTTTTTGTTTGTTTGTTTGTTTTTTTTGTGTGAAATTGATGCACGTTGTTTCTACTGCTTCTAAAAACAGCCTAAGCACTTATAAAATTAATTATTTGTCAATAAGTTAATGTTTTTTTAGTGTCTGGAAAATGAGCCCTTTCAAAAACCTTCAGAATGTACCATTACCTAGTAACCCAAGTGAAGCCCAGCCAGTTACCTAGCAACATAAGCCTATTTCCAGCACGTTTGGTCAGCACTGCATGCACTGTATGCACTGTACAATGGCTGCTGGAATAGACAAGCGTTTAGCTGTTGACTTACCATCCAGAAACCACTTGCTGGACTCTTGTTAGTTGTGCAGGAGGCTCCACTTCTGCTTCTCAAAGATGTATGGTTGGATAATTGCGTTTTTAACATTACAATGACAAAATAAAAACAAACAAACAAACAAAAAAACACACACACCCACAAACAGGAGAAATCTGTACATTTTCACACCAGTGTGTCTGGCTCAAGTTAGGCAGCCTTTACATGTTTGAGTCCAGCTTGTTTTCTTCAGCAGTCTCCAGATTTGACATTGACCGCTGCTCTTCTTGAAGCTTTAGCCCGCAGCGAAGTGCTGATAAACAGGATCTGCTGCTGAAAATGAACTGAATCCATCAACCCACTATTACCTGAGGTTAACTGCTGAAGCATTACCCACCAGGTTCCCTTTTCTCTTTTGATCAATTCTCTCCATACAGACCTCCACACAGCCCTCTGGGCAGAACGCCATCACCGCCCAGGACTTAGTCACCCTTTAACGCACACTCACGCAAACAGAGAGTAAAGAAATGAAATGTCAGACCTAAAGGACAAAACAAAACCAAACAGGAAGCAGTTACGGTTGCAAAACAGTCGCCTGAGCTTTTATTTTCCAGCGGTCAGAAGGTAGTTTATTTGGGTGTTGCCGTCCTGAATCTGTGTGTTTGTGTTCACCCACCTCCCCTTTCAATAAGAGCTTGTCATAACGGAGCAGATAAAGTGCTGATACGGCTGCGGCCGACACCTCCGAGAGATGGATACAGATGGAGGGAGCGAGAAAGCTGCAGGAACTGGATGGATGAATAGACGGTTAGACGAATGGATGGACCAGAGTGTGTGTACATATACACAATTTGGCATGGCAACTTTAGATGAACCTATAATTTGTCAGAGAGCGAGTGGGTATGAAAGAAAGGGCAATATGGATGGGAAGTGGTGGATTTGCTGGCAGCAGTCTCTTAGTCAGCAGCGGCGCCACGAAACCTGATGAAAAATGCTGCTGTGACAGTGTGTCTGTGTGTGTGTGTGTGTGAGAGAGAGTGTGTGTTCATCAACAAACTGCCACAGATTGAATCCTGAACAGAGAGACAAGTCTGACACCTAGAGGGAGGTTTCAGTGATTCGTCCTCAAAACTGGATTTGCTAATCAAGTTTGTCCCGAGAAAATTAGAGCCAGTGGAAAAAAGAAAGCTGGTTCCCCCCAAGTGGCAATCAGAGTCAGAAAAATAAAAAAAGGCTAGTCTGAGGAAAAAGACAACAACAAAAAGCCACTGAATTCTGAGAAAGGTCAGAAATCTGAGAATAAAGGGTTAGGGTCTGAGAATCAACTCCAAAATTTAAAATTCAAGTCTGAATTCTAAGATTCAAGTTCAAATTCTGAGAAAAATGTATGAATTCTGAGATCCAAGTACAAAATCTAAGATTCAAGTCCAAAATTTAAAATTCAAGTCCAAATTTTGAGATTCAAGTCAGTACTCTGTTGTGTGTTTTTCCCCCAGTAACTCTTAATCTTCTTTCATATGTTATTTCTGGGAAAATAATTCTCAAATTTTGTAAAACCTGATTTTAATTCCCAAATATCTAATATCTCTGTAATTGCTTTCTTTAACATGTCCTGAAAAAGTTTAATTTGTCACATTCCATACACTTCCATTTTTATTTGGGTTTTACGTTGTAGATTGCCACAAAGCAGCAGATCGTTGGGATGTGGAAGAAAAAAGAAAACTTTGTAGAAACTCCTTTTACGTCTCTTATGGCCTCTACCAGACTCACATTCAGAGACAGAATTAAATTTTTGATTTGCAAGTTAGGCTCAGACACAAACTGGGAGCATCAATTTTAATAAAGCAAAAAAAAAAGAAAGAAAAGGATCCATCTCTTTTGGAGTAAAGTGCAGCCACCAGCTCAGAGCTTGCACAGTTCTGGCAGCAGGAACCAGAAATGCATCTGTAAACACAAAAGAGACAAATTTCCCAGACTGAGTGGGAGCCCTGCCAGACGCAAAATTAGCTCAGACCAATTCCCACATCCAGATTTAATTAGTAAACTGTCAGATTTGATAGTAAACATTTAAAACTTCCCTTATTAACGCTCTGCTGCCATATGCAAATAAAATCCTCGTCCTGTTTCAAGCAGCTCTGACTCATCTGCAGCGAGTTAATCCCCCAAACAGCCGGAAATATATGTGAATATGAGCTTTAACGCCACTCAGCGCGAGTCGTGTTTGAACTGAAACTGATGCCTGCGAGAAGGTCCCAAACATGTTCATTAAGATAATAAGAGCTGCTTAAACCAGCCTCACCAAAACCGCACTTCACAATGTCGCCAACAGTCAGCATAAAGACGGAAAACCACTGGAGGAGCTTGGAGATGATTAAGCTAAGATTTAATCATGATCAAACACAGGGTTCATGTTTTAATCAGCTACGATCAAAGAGGCTTTCTTAGCCACAAGAGAGCGGCGCATCAAACAGATCGAACGTTTCGGAGTGACGGAGTCACATTAAGGATGATCAAACAATCCTCACCACACAACCCAGTTAGTGTAAAATTAAAGACACACTGAGGACCGTCTCTGAAAACACTTTATTACAAGCTTTTCAGCCACACAGTTAATGCAAACATTGAACATAGACATGATGAAACTTAAACAAAAACACACAAATATGGCAGATCTGAACTTTGGCTGTTCACATATGGATTATTTTTTTGCTGCTTTACTGGCTGAGTTCTCTTCCTGCAGGGTTTTCAGGTCAAGATCGATGAAAACAATAACAGAAAACAACAAAACTCTTATCTATTTTTAAAGCTCGAGCTATTCTGGACTGGCTTCCTGTTTATTTAAAGTTCAGAAAAACATTTTATTTGCTTCTGTTAACACTCAAATAGGAAATATTTGGCTTCCAGAAATACATTTGAACTGAATAAATGCAACTAAAAGGAAACAGATTCTTTTAGAAAATATATTCTTCCAGGCAAAAATGTTGAAAAAATCTACAGTAAATTAGGGCTGTTGCAGATAGAAGAAATGAGCAAATTTCAGGTGAAAAACTCAGAACATTTGAGATTAGTGTCAGAAATCTTCTAGAAAAATGTAGAAATTTCTGACATTCTTAAGTCAAAAATTTTTGAGAAACTAATTTTGAAATTCAGAAATGTCCAAGTTCTTTTTCCAGAAAATTTCTAAGATTAATCTAAAATTTCTGAGTTTATTTCTAGAAAGATTTTGACTTCTTAGGCTCTATTTTTAAATAATAATAAAACATTTTCTGGCATTGGACTTTTCCAATGCAGATTCTTTCTTGTTTTTGCTAGATAATTTCTGATATTAGTTTAAAATTTTTGAGTTTTTCTGGCAGATATTTCTACTTTTTTCTATCTACAATGACCCTAATGTAGAAAAAAAAGAACACCCAGATCTTCTTTCAAATTATTGCAAAATTGACAGGACAAGTATTATGATGCAAAACACAAAAACTTCCTTGAATATAATGAAATAATAATGCAATTTCTCATATTTTCCAGGTTCTGTTTGTAGTTCAGCATAAATGGTGACACTTATGGTATTTTCCTTTCACTGTTTGATGCATGAATCAACAGCTGGGTTTTTGGGAACAAAAACAAACCAGACCAACTAATTTTGGGAACTTTAGATTTAGATCTCCACAAGTTTTAAACTTGAACTTTACATCATTTACGACTTTGCAATAATTTCTTTATTAATTGATAAAGTTTTAAAAGCACCTCCACTTTGTTACATTTGCTTTGCATTCATGTAGTGTTTTATCACAAGCCGTTTTAAGTAAACAATGCTCCAGCATTACTTCTTTAAAAACCATATTTTATACTGTCACATATGCAATTTCATATCCAACTAATCCAGACTGAAAATTCTGCAGCATTCCAACTCAAATGCCAAATTTACTGCTGCAAAAGTTAAGAAAATGCAGTAATTTCTCAGTAACCAATTAATATCATGTCATGCCATGCAGACGCTCTGTCTGCACCAATGAAGATTCAGTCACCTCAGCATTCTAAGCCCTCAAAGCAGCTGACATGGCAGAGAAGTTGGACTTATTGTCTTGGGATCTTGGGAGGACAATGACAATGAAATATGTTCCACTTTAATGTTTTTACCACTTATATCTTATAAAGTATGAGGCTATAAACTCCTGCAGCAGAAATCTGAACAAATCGTTATAACTGGAGAGTTTTGTTTTGCCTCAAAGGTAAAACCAGCCAACAAAGCAGTTCAGATTGTTTTGAGAAAAAACTGAATCCGATGTTTTATGAGGCATTCATGTAATTAACATTAATACAGGAAACATTTTTAAAAAATCAAGTTTGACTCTAGTTTAACAATAGCTCCCTGCTTTAGTAACATTTTTATAAATTTCATTCCAAATTTTCATGTTTTCTCTCCATTTCCACCCGATAGAAAAAGTCTTACAACTCAAAACCAAGTATGAAAAATGAATCCTAACAAATGAAAAACTCAAACAGGCGTCTTTGGTGAGATTCATGTAACATTTGGCGAAAGTTGAACCTGACATTAATTTTGTAGCAACATCTCCACTGTGTAAACAAACATGGCTGAATTTCTGTCACTGTGGGAAAAGGCCTAAAAGTGGATGAGAAACCAGACTCAGTTTGAATAAAAACACAGTTCTGTTCTGTTTTTTACATATAGAAAACTCTACTTTATCAAAGTGTCAGAGTAAATAAGGCTGACAAAAGTTAAATTAATACAGCTCTGGTCAGATATGCAGTCGTAGGCATGAATGTTGGATTTTTGAGTTACTTGAACAGCTTTATTTTCTAATCAGGGTGGAACAACAAGATAACCGATTGAAACGAACAAGAAAAATGACCTGAAACACAAGGAAACCAGTTTAAAACTGGATGAATTTGATGAACGTTACTTCTGGGAAACCTCGATCTAAATCAAAGCGTGTGAACGACACTCAAAACAACGGGAGTTTTCCCACGCTCGGACAGAATTTTATAAGCCGATTATAATTCAAATTTAACCAAATCAAGTGACGAAAGCTTCAACCAAACCTGAGTTAGAGGAAATAAACCATAAATCTGGAGTTACTAAAAATCATTGTTTCTAATAGTTTTGTCGTTCCACCCTAAAAGGTTAAATGGTGACTGTGTGCAAACTTCTGAATGTTCAACAATACACAAAGTAAATCTGTCAGAGGTAAAGGTGCACACCACACTGCATTAGTAGGTCCACAAGTGGCTCCAAATGACGACTAAAAGGGTGCAAGCGTTTGCATAAAGAGCATAAGGAAGAATAGAAAATGGCCGCCGTTCTGAGTGAATGCAGACGATCTCTGTTGAACCCTTTCAGACCTCGTTAATCCGCCGTTAATGCAGGTTTATAAAAAGCATCTTTGAAAGCCTGGAAAACACGAGAAGAGAAAAACAAACCAGCTGCAGCCGCGTTCTGATGCGACTCTTTTGTTCCGGCGCCAGAACAGCAGCTGGCCCGGCCCGTTCAACCGGCCAATCGGGTCGCTTCGTTCAGAGGAGCGAACCCGCCGCGTTGCACCGATCGTCTGCTTCGATGGACGCCGTCTCTGGATTAGAGTCGAGCAGCGAGCGTCTTCTGAGTAGGCAGCTTTCCTCCTACAAAATAAAATAAATCCGATGAGAATTTAAGCAATTCTGTTTAAATTCTGGATGAGAAATGAAAACTTTTCTGCTTGTTTCTCACCCAGAGTGTCTTCCAGGGAGTTCACCATCACCGTGTTGACCTTCAGAGTTCCCTGATCCGCTCCTCTGGAGGAGACAAACAGCAACGCCTTCGGTTATTCTCACCACGGCCCAAAACTCAAGACGCAAAGACTTTTAGATGAATGACGAGTGAAATGACTGATTTAAAGGTGAACTATTATTCTTCCTTGGACACATTAGGAAAGTTGCACAAAACCTGACAAAACATGTTCATTACGTATTTTTCACAAAATCATTTTTAGATAACAAGGTTTTAATCTGCTTATTTTGAGTTCCTTTCAGATTGAGCTGCTTAGGGCGCCGTCATTTTAATGCAAATGAGCTTCTGCTGGCCACGCCCCCAACTCATTATTAATGAATCATTACATCATTTGTTCCGTTTTCCTTTTATCTCTTTTGAAGTGAAGTGTGGCTGTAATTTGGTTAAAAAGTCATAATTTTCAAGGTAGTGTGTTATTTCACACAAGACAAGTGAGCCAATATCTGATCCTTAAACAGTAATAACAAAAAATAAAATGAATAAGTATTAATAATTATAACAAAAATAAAATAAATGAATAATAATATATTAAAATGCATAAATAATTTTGGTAAAAATAAATAAAATTAAGTAATGAAGTATAAAATAATAAAAATAAAATGAATGAATAATAATAAAAAGTATAAATGTAAATAAGAAAAAATAAATGAATAATAAAATGAAATGTGTATTATTTTGCACAATAATATATCCTTATCAATAGAAATAATACAAATAAAATGAATATTAATAATAAAATGAATAATTATAAATTATAATAAAAATTAAATAGAAAAACTATATAATTACAATAAAAAAATAAAATAAAATGAAACATTAAGTATAACATAATAAAAAAGTAAATACATACAAATAAACATTTAAAATAAAAATATATATAATTAATAAAAAAATAAGTAAATAAAAAAATAATAATATAAAATATAATAACATAAATATTAATTTAAATAATAATGATAAAATAATCCAATGTACAATACCAGTTTCCCAGTTTGTTCTTATTATCACAAGTCCTTTTAAAAACCTTTATTATAACTTATTTAACAAAGAACTGAGTAAACATGTAAACAAACCCTGGAATTGAAGCGTCGGGTCTTTAGTTTATCCAAAGGAAGAATAAAACCCAACTCACCCTCTGAGTTTCTGCACCGCTCCGAGTCTCAGTAAAGCTGCCAGAGCGTTTTTCTGGAGGTCCGACGACAAAACCTCGACATATTTTAACCCTCCTGGATGATGCAGACACACAAAAATAAATGAACATTTTTATGTCGCTAGAAATAATGTAAATAAAAACATCTTAAAAAACCTGTTAGGAGGTGTTTGATGAAGAACTTCCGGACAGCAGGAACAAACTGGTTCTCAGTCAGAGTCTCTGTCGCCTCCTCACAGAGGAACCTGCACACCATCTGGGAGAAAAATAAAAAATAAAATAAATAACAACCCGACTATTAAAACCGTTTTCACACATCAGCTCAAACTGTGCTGGTTTCCTCATGCAGCATCACTCAGCAGGACGCCGACCGTGCAACAAGCTTTTTCACTACTGGGAAAACTCCAGAGTGGAGGGAGAGCCGAGTGTGAAAGGACAGAACATGATGTGAAAGAAACCTCAGGAGGGACTGGAGACACACTTCCTGCCTCCAGTATGAACTGGTTCTACTGGTGGACGAAGCTCCATGCTACTGCAGGAGCAGAGACACTGAAAATAAAAATATTATTAAACTGAATGCTTGAAATTTTGATGTTTTAATGGATGGAAATGACTGGAGACTGATGTCGCATCAACAGTGCCCTCTAGTGGACGAAGAGGGAGGAAGCAAAAAAGAGGAAAGAAGGAATGAAAGACTGAAAGCAGAAAGGAATGGAAGGAAGAACAGGTATGAAGAAAGGCTGATGGGAAGAAAAAAAGGAAGAATAGTAACAAACATTAGTAAGGAGGGATAGAACGAAAGAAAGGATGTAACAGAATAAGGATAGGAAAGGATAGGAAAGAAAGAAGGAAGGAACAAGAGAAAGAAAGAAAGAAAGAAAGAAAGAAAGAAAGAAAGAAAGAAAGAAAGAAAGAAAGAAAGAAAGAAAGAAAGAAAGAAAGGAAGAAAGAAAAGAAAGATAGAAAGGAAGAATAGAAAGGAAGGATAGAAAGGAATAAAAGAAGGATGGATAGGAGGAAAGCATTGGAAGGAAGGATTAGACCACATTTTGATGAATATTTGAAATAAAAAGAGAGAGAGATGGAATCACACCATAAATATTGATTTATGGGTCATCAAACAGTAATAATAACACCTGATCCCAGCTAAGCTCACCTGATATCCCTGCACAAACGGATCCAGGATGCTGGTGAGGAATGCCAGCGTCCGGTGGCCGCTGTCTGTGACCAGCACCTCCTGCTGGTGGATCTGGAGAACTGCGCTTTTCACCAGCAGGTAGCAAGCTTCTTCAAAGTCCTGGAAAACAGGCAGACATCAACGACGGCAGATATAAAAACATTTAAATCGTTCACTCGGTTCCAGATCTCCTCACCTGAACTTCGGCTCCGGGACGAAGGATGAACTCGTTAGAAAACATGTTCCTCAAGAAGCTGAAGGTGTTGAAGATCTCCTCTGGAAAACAGAACAGAAATACAGAACAGGCTCCTACCATTTAATGAAAGAATAAAAAAAATAAATGAAAGAATAAAAAAAATAAATGGATTTATGCTAATAGCAAGTAGCTACTAGCCAGAAGTAGTACCAACTACTAGTAGCTAGTAGTACCAACTGCTAGTGGCTAGCAGCTAGATGCTACTAGTAGCTAGCAGCGGCAAAAGGCTGAGAGCAGAAGAAGAGTCATCCTCACGTTTCCTGCTGCCGGTGACAGAGTGGACGGCGCAGGCCAGCAGCGCGGCCCGGATGAAGACATGCAGCACCTGGTTCCTGTAGGAGGCGCAGGAGAGCACCACCACTGCCTTGCTCAAGAGCTCTTCCTCCGGCGTCATCGCAGCCGGAGGAAACCCTGATCCACTTTCTGTTTCAGAAAAAAAACACTTCTGTTTGATTTCATGACTTTCCATCAGAGCTTTGAGCCTCAAGAGGTCTCCATGAAATAAAGTGAAACCTGAGTTCAGCTGGACTCTCCCCTCAGAGACCCTGACCAGGCTGCGATGGAGCGAGAGGCTGGAGGAAACGACTCTGGAGGGAGGAACGTGGTCTGGAGAGGAAGAGGAGCAGAAACAATCTCATTAAGCTGCATCAGCTTTACTACAAAACAACCAGGCAAACCGAAAGAAAAAATGACATTTTAGGAGCAAGTTGAAAAGAATATAGTCTCCTAAGAAAAAGAACTGTGTGTTATTAACATTTTGCAGCAGAAAAAATAATTAAAAGTAAAATGTTGTGCCTTGCTAAAGCATTCAAACCCCTTCCTTGGATTTCACTAAGATTTCATAAACCAACACAAACCAGTTCAGAATTATAAACTGAAAGTTAGATACCAGAGCTTTCACTGTTTCTGACAAAATAATTATTTAAAAAATGTGTATTTGTACATCAGACATTGTAGATAGAAAAAAGGAGTGGATTTCTACAAAAAAACTCAAAAATGTTGAGACTAATTTAAGAATTTTTCTAAAAAAAAAAACTTTTTCAGAGTTTCAAAAGTTGAAAATGTTCCAAGTTTGAGGCTCAGAAATTTCTCCAAACTTCTAGCAAGTTTTCCACTACTCAAATTTTCGAGGAGCTAATAGATTAATCTCTAAATTTCTGAGGTTTTTGCCACAAAGTTACTTTTCCCCTTCCTTTTTTAAAAGACAAAACATCTATAATACCCGTAAGCTGTTGTAAAAAACAGTTTAGATGTTACGATTAAAAATGTATTGGGTTCATTTTTTATTATTTTTACCTTTTTCTTATCTTCCCTCCAACTTTCTGGGGCCCCATTAGCCTGCCACGGTGGCCCCCTCGAGGCCCTCGACCCCCACTTTGAGAAACACTGCTCTGTAGAATCAATTTTTTCTGCACCTCCAGTAAAAATGTCTGGTATTTCTCTGACTGCTTGTTATTTTTAATCTTTTCTGTTGTACAGCATCTTTTATAAATACAATGTTTTATCATTATTGTTGTTATTGTTGCTGCCTCAGTAACTGGGCCGGTACCGTACCGGGCCAGTGAAGGAAGGCTCCAAACTGGCGGGACAGATCCCGGAGCCAAACGGCTTGTTCAGTCAGGTCTTCCACCAGAACTCCCAGTTTGTTCCCAGCAGCCTGGTTCTGGAGCAGCAGGGCGGCCAGAAGGACCCAGGGCTTCAGAACCATGTTCTCCTCCTGGGACCGGACCAGCCTGAAGGCCGAGTCGTTCACAAAGTCCTGGATTCCCTCTGAGGGCTTGCTGGGGATGTGCCTGAAGAAAAACACAGTCAGGTTTATCTGAAGGGGATCAATAACCAAAGATATTCTCAGTATTGATCGGTGATTATTACTGAATATAATGTCAGAACATGGAGTTCCTTAAAGTTCAAAGATAAACTTTAAATAAAGCTTAAATATGTAAAAATAAGAAATAAAAAAGAGAGAGGGATGGAAGGAACGTAAGGAGAAAAGAAGAAAAGAAAGAAGGGAGGAAGGAAAGAAGCAAAAATGAAAGCAAGGAGGGAAGAAAAAAGGAAGGAAGAAAGAAAATAAAGAATGAAGCAACAAAGGAAAGAAAAAAGGAAAGAAGTAAAGGAATAAGGAAAGCAAGAAGGAAGGAATGAAGGATAAAATGAAGAACAGAAAGTAAAATTAATGAAAGAAGATAGGAAGGAAAAACGAAAGGAATGAAGAAAGAATGAAAAGGAAGAAAGTCAAAATGTAGAAAAGAAGGAAGGATAAAAAGGGAGAAAAGAAGGTAAAATGACTGAACCAATGAATGAATGAATGAATGAGTGAATGAATGCCGGTACCGCGGTGTCAGGTTGAACTGTGAGCGGTCCACTCTCCCCTCAGCCAGACTCCTGGCAGAAACCGGCTGGCCGAAGTAGACGTGGATGCTGCCGTAGTTTTCACTCAGGATCTTCCTGGCTTTGAACAAACCCTGCAGGAAGCAAACAGAGGAGAAACGCACATTTAGATCCAGAAAAACCGGAAAAGAGTCCAGTCCAGGGAGACGTGTCATACAAAACTCACACTTAGCTTCAATTTACTGCTTCTAAAAACTAAAGCACTTTAAAAAAACCATCTAGCAATGTTTTGGCAATAAGTTCATGTTTTTATGGTGTCTGGAAAATGAGCCGTTTCAAAAACTTTCTGAATAAGATTAGCAAACACACTTACCCAAAACTGTGTTCTGGATAATAACACATTAGTTTTTTATATGTATATTTTTTTCAAATGGTATTTATAATTAGTCTTATATGGTGTTTTTTCTACACTGTACTTTTTGTTATGTCCACTTTCTGCTTAAATTTGTGGAACTGATGGAGGTTTTTAAAGTCACATTCTACAGGCATTCTGCCGTTACCTAGCAACCTCAGCCAGCCCAGGCCCGTTACCTAGCAACCTAAGCCAGCCCAGGCCCGTTACCTAGCAACCCAAGCTGAGTTCTGGCACCTTTGGTCTGCAGTTTTTAAAATTTCTGAATGTTTTTAATGGGATTTTACTTTTTTCTGACATCTCCCAAGAAAAACTTATGAATAAGAACTGACTATCTCATTATCTATGAATAGTTTTGTACAAAAAAATTTAATGAACGTGTTTTGTGTAGGCCAGAGACCCATCTTAACCTGTTCAAGGAAGTATAATGGGTCACTTTTAGAAGTAACTTTAAGTAGTGATCCAGAACTGATGAGGTCTGGTGTTCAGGACTCACAGACGTGGATTCCTTGGGCTTCGGGACGCCCAGCAGCTCTCTGGCGTAGAGCGCCTCCTCCAGGATCCGCTCGTAGCTGATGCTGACCGGCACCAGGCTGACGTCGAACACTTGCCCCTTCAGGAAGGGATCCATCACGATGTTCAGCAGACCTGGAACCCGACAAAACCGTCTCACCTGGACTCTTTACCACACACAGAAACTCAACCACGTTTCAAGGTAAGTTTTCAAACATTTCCAGCACCATGTTGGAGATAAATATAATACGAAACACATTGTTTCAATTCGCAATTATCTGATATAACTGACTACTGTTATTAATGATATCTTGTGATCTTATTTTACAACCTACAGCAAGGACAAAATAAACTAAAATATAACAAAATGTATGTTTTGAAATGTCTCTCTCACACACCTTATACACCTGACTGGTAGGAGAACAAAACAAATAATCACAGGATTTTAATAACTCTGTTCAACAAAGATTACAAAACAGACATAGCAGTTTATTAATATCCTGCAGCATAATTTACCTAACTTTGGAGTCAGGGATTTGGCTGTTCTGCTCCTTGTGCCCTCCAGAAAAAACTCAACGGGTGCAAAGCCATTCTGGAATTAGAAAAACCGTTTAGAAAAAGCTTAAAATGGAGTAAATATTTGCCAAAGGTCCCTTCAGTGTGTGTGCAGCCTTTTCACCTTCAGCATAGTCTTGACGTACTCGGAGAAAACAGCCCAGTAAAGTTTGTCACCACCAAACGACCTCCGAATAAAGAAAGCTCCGGACATTCGCAGCATCTCCCCGACAATCTTCATTCCCATGAAGTCTGCAGAGAAACTCTAGGAAGTTAGAGCTGGACGATTCGGCTGAAAAACGAATCACGATACAAGCATTTTCTATCAGTCGATACTGACTCACCCATGCCAGCAGCAATGACTGGTAGGGCTAAATCATAGGTGTAGAGGATGTAGGACACGAGGAGGAAGTCCATGTAGCTGCGGTGACTCGGTAGAAGGACCACCGGGTGTTCCTGGATGGCCTGTTGCAGCTGAGAACGGATCAAAGTTAGTCATGTTTCCATCAGTCTGCGTCTCCCTGATGGGTCTACTCACTCTCTGGATGCCCTCCTCGTTTACACAGATGCTCCTGAACAGAGTTTTAAAGATTTTACTGAGCGTGAAAGCAAAGAAGCGGACCGTGGTAAGCTGCAAGCGGTGAGCCATCTCCTCCAAGATGGCCTCCGCCTCCAACTGGATCTCATCTGTGGCCGTGCCAGTCTCCTTGGAAACCTAAAAGAGAAATCACAAAAATTTGACAAAGGCATTGTTTGTCAGCTCTAAGAGAATATCTGTCGCCATGACATCTTTTAGCTAGGAAACAGCAATGCCTCCATATTGAACGTCCACACACACATGAAATGTGGAGTAATGCTGTGATTTTGGACATTTTTGTTGCAATCCTGACTTCACCTGATTGATGACATAAAGCAGCTGGTCAGACTGCAGCACCATAGTTTTGAGGTCGCTGACTGTGCAAGGAGTCAGTCCTTTATAGAGAGCGGGAGTGTAACACCTGAGGGCGTATCTCAGGTCGCTGGTCTTCCTCCTCTCCTCCAGGATGTCCTCAAAGTCATCTCTCTTCTTCAGCAGTGGATCTCTATGCTGCTAAAATAATGACAAACTCAATTACTTGGCATGAAAATACCCAAAGATTTGCATTCCCTAAAATAAAAACACCATTTAGGTCCTACTAACTGAGCATGCTCAGCTGATAATATTAGGTTCGAAACGATTAATCATATTAATCATTATTGAAATAATTGTTAACCAAGTTAGTGATCGATTAATCATTAACTGGAACATATACTCAAAAAAGGCCATTTGCTGAACAAAATAGCATAGCATTAATTAATCTAAAACTGTATAAAACACATATAAATATTGCACTATTGCCCTGCAGCCTGTGTATGCAATCGCTTCATGGTGTGGGTGCATATCCGTTTAAACACTTAAAAATAAAATTTAAAAGATTAAAATTTATAAAATTAGGAAAGTCCAAAATGCCAAATTAGGCCAAAATGTGAAGCAGCAATTTAAAGGTAAAAATGCAATAATTCACGCTGTTTGAATGAAATATCAGGTGTTCAGCAACAGAGGGCACAGCTAGCTCAACAAGCTGACAAACACAACATACGTACCGAATAAACCGCTTTGGACGCCATTTTGTGTTACAAACCAACCGGCTGCATTCGATGGAAATGTTTTCGAGTTGATATGTTGTTGTCTTGTCTTTCTATGTAACACTTTTTGACACTAATAGCAGCTGCAGAGCTTCACATGGGCGTGAGCATTGTGGAAAATGACGTTTCAGGGGCATCTTTTCACTTCCGGACTTCTACACCTACGGTAGCTGGAAAGGACCACTCCGCTCCGCTACTGTGTTCCGCGTTGTGTGTTATCACGTGTGTTGTTATTCATAAAAACAAGTTAGCAACACATTTTTGTTGTTGTTTTCTTTTAACTTTCTTCAGTTCACCGTCTGAAAATGAATTCAGAGTTAGATGAGGACCGTTTGTTTCTGGAGCGGGCTCTGGATTCACTTTATGACTTTGGTAAGCTGTATAAGCTAATGCTAGCTCTTTTAGCCGACTTAAGCTCTCCTGTTTGTTTTTATATAACACAAGAGTAACAGGAAGATCAGGAATGCTTCGTTTTTATCTCATTTTGTATTTTAACTTGACCAAACTAGCTGAAACCGACTGATGAAGTAATAACTTAATAATAATTTAATTTGTAAAGCGCTTTCATTCAAAGGGCTGAACAGACAAAATGAAACATTGCAGATTAAAAACAGGTAAAACAGGAAGGCAATAAAACGAGTACAGAGTGAACAAGTGGGTCTTTAATTTACTTTTCAGATCATTCACATACTTATTTATTATTTACCTTCATTACAAACTCATTGTTTTATTTATTAAAAAAAGGCTACATTTAATGTGGCATAAGAGTTACAAAGAACAGTGCTTAAACTTTCAATTTACAAATAAATCCCCTTATTAAATTACAAACCTCTTGTTAGTAGCATGTGTTCAACGTTTGTAATACTATAGACAGTATTTTTTTTTTTTAAAAGACCACGCAATTTTTAAAAAGAAACTTAAACATTAATTGTAGATATTCATAGTCTTCCACTGCTTATTGTTGGGGGTTTTGTTTCCTGTTTTAGATTGCCTATGTCTGTTAGTTATTTCTCATGTGGAAATATTTTATTTTGTTTGTTTGTTTTGCTTAGCACAATTCAGTACGGTTTAAACCGTCCTGAATTGTGCTAATGTTTATTAATGTCCTAATAAAATAAATTAAATTACGTTTTCTGTAAATTAAGAAATAGTGCGTTAATATGTTCTGAGGCTTTAGTTAGATCCGTTTCATGTTCGTTGTTTTGATTTTTGTTTCAGGACCAGAAACAAAAAAGAAGGTCAAAACCCAAAAGAAGAAAAAACGAAAACGATGTGAAGAAGAAGAAGAAAAACTTGATGCAGTGAAGGAAACCTGCAGCAACGATGAAGACAGCAGAGATGCTGAGATTCAGCAACCAAACACCGAACTGAAAGGTTAAAATTCATAATTTATTACTAAAATGGCCTTAAATTTGTTTATCTTAAATTATGTTCTGAATGTATAGAGCTCTATTAGAGCCATAAAGTTTGTTTAAAAGAGAAAAAAACTGAAAAATTATTTTGAAACTGGAAAAAAAATAATTAAAAACCACTTTTCAGATTCAAGTTTTTTTTTGGTTCCAAAATAAATGTTCAGTTTAAATTTCTTTTTTCTTTTAAACAAAATTTATGGCCCCAATATATCTCCCTATCATTGAGCCTCAGTTTGGTGTTAAATTTACACCACAGCTGTCTTCAAAAGGGCTAAAAATGAAACTTTAATTGATCAGAAGCCCTGTAGTTATCCTCACATTCCTGATTAGCGTCTGAAGGTTATTTTTCTGATTATCTTTTTATTCTAATTGATCAGAGTCAAATGTTAAGCTGCAGAACAAAGTGGAGGTTGTCACATTTCAGGATCCCAGGAAGAAAATCAAAACCAAACAGTTTCCAGTCTCAACCAGGATCCCAGTTAAATCACCGCAGGTTGGTCTAAATAACATGATACTTAAGCTTCATGTGATGTGGTTTAACTAAAACTATATATATTTTTAATGCTACAAACTTCTGACTCTAAATGTATTTCTTACAATGGAAACTTTGTTACTGAATGAACTCCATACAAACTCCTATTTCCCCTGTTTCCCTTGTCATCTCTTATTTCCATCACTTTTCTTCTTCTCTTGTCTTCATCGCCTTCGGGCGTCGCGCTCGTCACGCCAGGATTCTCTGCAAGCAGAGCAGAAACAAATCAACCAGGAAGAACAGCTCAGTTTGGAAAAGGTGACGTTATTTGATTTCACTGGGATCTCGACTGAGTTTATAGTTGGGGTGTGTTGGGATCATTCTAGACAGAAAAAAAGAAGGGGGACTGAATTTCCACCAAAAAAAACAAGAAATTTTGATATTGATTTCAAAAATTTTCTAAAAAAAAAAAAAAAAAGAACTTGGACATTCCTGAGTTTGTTAAAAATTAGCAAGAAAAACTCAGAAAATTTCTAGAAAAAAAAAAAACAAGAACATTTTTGAGTTCCAAAAGCTGAAAATTTGCCTATCAATAAATTTGGAAATTTCTGCCTTTAAAAAATTGTAAGTTTGCTAGAATAAATCCCAGAAATTGGAAGATAATCTCAGAAACTTTATAGAAAAGCCAAGGAAATTTCGGAGCTCAAAAGTCAATAATTTGCCCGAAAAAAAAAAACAAATAAAAAACAACGCAGAAATTGTGAAATTCTCAGAAATTTTATAGAAAAAAAGGAAATTTTTACTTAAAAAATGTTCTAGAAAGAAACTTGTACAACGGCGTACTCAGACTATTGTAGATAGAAAAGAGTACATTTAAGATTAATCCCAGAAATTTTCTAGAAAAACTTGAACATTTGACTTTTAAAACTCAGAAAATTTCCAAAAGTTTAAAATTTTTTACTTTTGAAATTCTGATATTTCCAAGTTTTTTTTCTCGCACATATCAGAGATTCATCTAAAACGTTCTGTTTTTTTTCTAGTAACTTTTCAAGCTAAAAATTGTCCTTGTTTTTAAAAAAAATTTCTGAGATTAAAATTTTCTGAATCTTTGTAGGAAATTTATTCTTCATTTTTGTCTAAAATGGCCGTAACACAGTGTCATATTGATGTGTGGATTGCTGTATTTCACATTTATCATTTTAAACTGTGATGTCTTCCCTCTCAGGCTCGGCTGGACGTCCATCGGTTTGGAATAACGGGCTACAGGAAGGAGCAGCAGCGCGTTTTTGAGCAGGACAGAGCCATAATGCTGGGAGCCAGAGTAAGACGCTGGGAAAATGTTTTTTTGTCAGATAATCCAAAAAATCTGTCACACAAACATGGCATAAGAAAATGAAAAAAAAAAAAAAAAAAATCTATTAAAAATAATTTATTTTATTATGAGGGAAAAAACTATTCAAACCAATCTGACCCCATGTGAAAAGCTTCATCATTAATTAACAGCTAAATTTAGCTTCACTCACCATTTCCAGGCACATTTAAATGGAGCCTGTCTGTCAGCAGGAAGTAGGCAAACAGAGAAAATATGGAACATCTCAGAAATGTCAGTTTTTTTCTAGAAAATTTCTGAGATTAATCTCAACATTTCTGAGGTTGAAAAGTTATAAATCTGCTTGGGGAAAAAAAATCTAATTTTGAGATAACTGAAAAGACAAAAATCTTTTACTTTTGAAACTCCAAAAATCTCAGAAATTTCTGAAGTTAATGTCAAAATTCGAGTATTTCAAGCAAATCTTCAAGTTTTCAAGCTCAGAAATTTCAAAGTTTCAATTAAAATATTTCTGAGATTAATCAAACATTTTTTGGCAAAATTTTATCCCTTTTTTATGTACAATGGCCTTAATGTGCATAATATCTGAAACTTTCTAATGAGACCAAAAATCTGTAACGAGGCAAATACCATTTTACAATATTGCATATTACTAGCCAGCATCTCGAATCACAGCTTTAATTCCATCTAATTTTGTGAATGAAGCCTCCAAAGAAGGAGTACGTGAACTACAAGGTGCTGCAGGAACAAATCAAAGAGAAGAAGCAGAAACAAAACGAGGAGCTTCAGCCGGTAAGGCCCGCTAGAGGAGTAATATTTCACAACAATCAAATTCTGCATGTTGTAACGTATCTACTTTGTAGGACAAGAAGAAAAAGAAGAAGAGTAATCAAAGGTGAGCGAGACCATTTAAATTAGGGGTGTCCAAAGTGTGGGGCGAGGGCCATATGTGGCTCCTGGACTGACTTTATCCGTCCTACAATTCAAAAATTACACAAGTTGACCTGCCATCACAGCTGGTTGATCCAAATGGAGGTAAAAATATTACAAACAAATTAAAATGTTCTTCTAATGAAAAATGTCTGATGCAAAAGAGTATTTATCTTCTTTTTTTAAACATACTTTTTTTACATTCTCTTTGGTTTTGTAGTAAATACAGAAACATCTATTGAGTGACTTTAACTCAATAGTACCAAAATCTGCTTTTAGTGAATATATTAAACATGGCTAAATACACAAAAATGTGACCCAAATCCTGTTTTTATAGCCGACTTCCTCACAAAAAATTAGCAAAATGAATGTCTTTCTTGTAATAATTCAAATGTGCAAGATCCTTTTTAATTATTGGGGATATAATAATTTAAACAAGCATTCTAACAAAATGTCTGACGACTTTGTACATTTTTATTATCGTATGCTTAGTTTATTGCTGAACAGGAAACATCAGATTTTAAATTGTTTTAGAAATTATTGTTTAACTTGACTTTAAAATTTTGGCCAATGTAACAAAAACTTTGGACACCCCTGCTTTGAATACTTTTCACAGGAGTTTCAAATGTTTTTATTGGACTGATGCAGACTGTTCAGTAGACGCTCAGTTGTCTTCTTGTGTATTTTTCCTCAGAGACAAAAAGAAACAACCAGCCTCTGGTTCTGCTTCTGGTTCTGGTCAGGTGGGTCAGTTCAAGAACGGCATGCTGATCCTCAGTTCGAAGGAGATCCAGAAAATCAAAGGCAAAAGGTGAAGGGAAAAGGTAAGAAGATGGTTTCAGGGTGTTTTTTGCATCTCAGTCATCCAGAACATCACAGTCTTAAAGGGGACATATTCTGCAGAATTAACATATTGGTACGTCTTTGTTTTACATTAGCGTTTCAACTGTTTCTAAAAACATCTATCTGGTCTTTGGCAATAAGTTCATGTTTTTTGGTGTCTGAAACGTTTTAATGAGACAAAAAAAATCTCATTACGCTCCATTTGGGAGATTTCGAAAACCTCCCGAATGTAGTGTCACAAATCAGCAGGCAGTGACCCTTCACCTAGTAACCCCAGCAGAACTCAGCTCGTAACCTAGCAACCCCAGGAAAGTTCTGCCTGTAACCTAGCAACCGAAGCTCAAAATATGCAGAACTGATCAGACTAAAATTTCATTTTTTTAAGAATGATTTTGTGCAAAAATGTAATGAACATGGTTTTGCCCATATACCCATTCTAACCCGTTCCAGGACGCATAATAAGTCACCTTCAAGTGAATAAGTAGAAGCTAACCAGACTTCTTTGATGCTAGGAACTTCCCTTTTTAGTGTAACTCACAGATCTTGAACTTTCAAGTCCGCATAGAAACAAAATAAGTTGAAGGTAATGTTTTTTATGTTTAAATTTTCTGCTTTCAGGTGGGATTAATCCAAAGGAGCAAGACGGAAACGGCAGCAGACTGGAGGAAACAATCCTGATAAGACACTGACCTGTAGCAATAGCTGGAATGATTCAAGAGTCAGACATCTTGAGCAGGGAATCGTGGCTGGACGTAAACATGCCAACACAAAGAGACTTGGGCAGATTAATTTCAGACCCCACTTTATTTATTTCCCTTCTTATAAAGTACCCAAAAAAGGAGACAAAGCTGTTTCTTATATTTTTCATGTTTAGGTTTTAAAAATTATGGAATTGAGTCTGTTTTCATCATTTACAAACAATGTAGTCGTACAAAACATTTACATTGGCAGCAGGGGACAACTGGAGGACAAAATTGAGGTAATAAAAAAGAAAAAGTCACATTTTCTTTGATGAATAAATATATATACACAACAGGAGACAGCAGAAGCAAAAGCAGTTTTTTTCTAACACTCATGCCTGAATTTACAAAGCTCGTCTCCAGCCTCAACAGGCTTTTGATGTAAACACTTGATGTTAAAGGGACGAAGTGAAAGTTGATGATAATGAAAAAACACAGTTGGTCGGGTTGTTTGGGCTGGTTGAGGTCACAGTTACTATTCTCAAAGCAGCTTCTTGGTTTGATTTTTGAATTTTAAAATTGGGAGAATGAGAAACGAAGATTCATGACAAAACCTGGATGGATTAATATTAATGTTAATTACCATCGTTAATTAAAAAATCTGTTATCAACAGCATTATGACACGTTTGGTCACCTGGGGGACCAAACACACTGGAGTCCCCCAGGTGACCCAGGTTTGGTTTAAACATAAGTGTGATGGCATATTAGGGTCATTGCAAATAGAAAAAGAAAGTAAGCCCCCCCCCACCCAAAAAAATAAAAAATAAATTCTGAGATTGAAAATTCAAAACTTTTCAGAAAAACTCAGAAAGTATTGAGAATCCCCCTGACCCCCCACAAACTTTGAGATTAATCTCGGAAAATTTCAAGAAGAAACAGGGTCATTTCTGAGTTTCAAAGGCCAAAACTTTGTTAGAAAAAATTTTGAGAATTTCTGAGTAAAATCAAAACATTTCCGAGCTTTAAGTAAAAGATTTGCAAGAAAATTTTTTGAAATTTTGAGGTTAATTTTGAATTAATTTAAAAATAAATTCTGAGATTGAATTTCTAAAAAAAAAAAAATTCTGATATTTTTCGATTAATCTCAGAAAATTTCTAGAAAAAAACATGGAAAGTTCTGAGTTTGAATTGCTATAAAAATTCAGAAATGTTGAGATTAATCTCAAAGTTCCTAGAACAAAATGGAAATATAAGGTTTTTTGCTGGCAAATTTTGACTTTTCAAACTCACAAAATTTCTGAGTTTTTTTCTTGTAAATTTTCAATTCAGAAAAGTCCTTTTTTCCTATAAAATTTCAAATATTTTCAGATACTTTTTTCTATTTACAGTGGTCCTAATATGCCGTCAGACATAACTAATTTGATATCTCCACGTTTTAAATTCGGAAAGATACTGTCTTATTTTTCCAGCAACATGAGTTAAATCTAACAAAGAAGTGACATTCATAGGTGGGTATCAGGTAAAGGGACATGCTAAACAAGCACAAATACAAAACAACACTTAAACAGAAGAGTTTGCATGTGAATCAAATCCATTACTAGATTCTTGTTTTTTGTCACAACATTTTTTAGATGAAAAGAATATGTAGCTAAAGTATAATCTGAAATCACTGAAACGTAAGGAGTTAGAGCGCTATAAACAAAATCTGGCGCTCAGGAAAAAAGGTTTTCCTTCTTACACAATGGATGTAATGTTCCAGCTCAACTACTGGGCTGAAATCTATTTCTGGTTACAGTAAATTCAGCCACCAGGAAGGTTTTTGATCTGGAGTGGGAGGTGAAAGGAGGGTCAGAGCTGAGCAGCCAAGCTGATAAAAATAAAGCCCAGAGGTGGAAACTGGTAGGATCAAATCAGGACACAAGTCGCCTTTGGCTGATGCTCACATATTTGACACTTGTCAAAACTCTTACATCCTGACCTCTTTGCCATGCTAAAAATGCTCAATTTGAAAGTTAAATACATATGTTTTAATGTCAACTCAAATGTAAATGAAAAAAATCACCAGATTACTTTTTATGTTGCAAAAATACTCCTTTTGTTTGTTGCCAAAAGCAACTGAATAACACAATGTTGCTCGGTGTTAACGACCTAGCGGCTACCGTTAGCAACCCTGCTGCCTACAGTGATGTTATGAGCTAAAAAAAATAGACTTAAGAGGAACAGAATGAGATAAATGTGAAATATTTAAGCAGATATTTTGGTTTAAAAATATATAAAATGTTTTGGACATTTTTCTGCTAGTAATGTTAGCAGCCTAATGCTAGCAACCGTTGTCTTTATATTTTAATATAAAGACAACAATGATGTGGTGCAACATCATTCATCGATGTTGCACCACTGCCGTTGCTAGCAACCTATCTTCCGACAAATGTACTGTGCATAGGGGAAAAAATATTAAGATTTTATATTTATTTTAATTTAAAAATATATTTTATTGTGTTATGTAGTAGTTTTTGAGCATTTTTAAGCTAGTTGATCATATTAGTGTAGTATTGACTGCTAAACACAATCTCTGCTAATGCAAATAACTACAGTTAGTCTATTAGTCGGACCCTTGGCAGATTTAGACTTAATTCTTTTATTTCAAGTATTTTTCTGATAGAAAATGAGACAGAAAATGACAAATTGTAACAGGACTAGTTGTTGCTGCTTTGAGATGAAAAACATCGAGCACTAAAAGTCTAAACAATGGGACGTGTTTCAGAAATAATTAGTAATTACCCCATGTAAATATTAAAAAGGGATTTTAGACAACACCTTTAACAAAAGAAAATAAATATATCATCATATGTTTAATAAATTAGAAGGTCTAGATATCATTCTTCCACTGGCTTCTTCTATTTAAAAGATAAATATGTTTAGAAAATACAAAACATACTACATGACTTTTAATAAAAACATTACCTGATCGAATGCAGTAAAAATACCAGGTTTTTCCTTCGTTGCGCATTTGAGTTCGTTCACGCTGTGTAAAATAATACTGGCATTTGCCATATGAGCAGTATACTAGTTCATCATTAAATAACCATAAACCTCAAAGCATAATCTACATGTCACATATCCCTGATTAAATGCTCAAATATTTTAAATTATGGAGGGAATTTTAACATATTTTTACAATTCAATGAGTCAATGTTTCAGCTGAACGTCTGAGGAGCTGCAGTTCCCAACATTGGCCAGCAGGGTGCGACCTGTTACAGCTCATAACAACATCACTCATTGCAGAGACAATAAAACATTATTTACAGAACATTTTCAGACAGTTTGCAAACTTGCTTGTCAATCCATGCTTAATATCACAAGTCACATATCAGTATCTACAGTTTGTCGATTTTCATCCACACATTAGTCCAGTTTTATATGGCAGGTCAGGCTATTCTCACTCATGTTCTTAGGGAAAAGAGAAAAAGCAAAGTAGATGTAATGACACTCAATATTAAACACCTTCAGCTTTTAATAACAAACCTTTCCATCGATGTGTTGTGTTCTTAGACATTGGTAATTTCACGTATCCTACAGCCATCAGGTCACAGTGGTCTGGTTTAAGCTACTGTCCTCTCCAGGTAGCCGTATTTGGTCCCTAATGAAAAATGCAGCAGCAGACGTGGTTCAACCTGATGGACCGGTACGGAGGAGGATTAGGGCCACTGAAATAAAAATATTCTGATTTAAGCCTCAGAATTCTGACTTTAAACTGAAGTCTCCAGAGATTATAGTCAGAATTTTGAGATTAAAGTCAGAATTTTGAGAAAAAAAGACAGTTCTCAGAATAAAAATAAAAATTAAGAGAAAGAATGTTAGAATTAAGAGAAAAAAGCCAGAATTTTAAGAAAAAAACAAAACAGGATTCTGAGAAAAAAAAATTACATTCTGAGGAAAAAAATGTTCGAATTGAGATTAAAGTGAGAATTCAGAGAAAAAAGTCAGAATTTTCAGAAAAATAAAAATTCTGAGAGAGAATGTTAGAATTCAAAGAAAAAAACAGAATTCTGAGAAAAAAGATACAATTCAGAGAAAAAAGTAAAAATTCTGATTTAAAAAAAAAGGGTCAGATTTCAGAGGGGGAAAAAAATCAGAATTTTAATTAAAAAATTTAAATTATGAAAGTCAGAATTGTGAAAAAAAGTCAAACTTTCAGTTTCCCTAATCATCTTCCGTAGAGTTGGATTTCACTGTGACACGTTAAAGATGCTTCAGAGTTTGAGTTTCTTCAGAGACGAAGAGATGAGCGGAGAATGAAATTATTTTGAGACACTTCTACCATTTAGTGGCTTTTGGCTTTTATAAAATTTACTCAGTTTCGTTTCATATTTATGACAGAGTATTAGGCCCACACCACGCTAAGAAAATAAAAAAATAAATACAATTGTTAAATTATAAATTCTTTTTGTCAATCAAACTTATATAATGTTTTTGGTCAACCTTTACTGGCTTTCAACTTCCAGCTAAGAAAATCCGATATAATCATTCACACAGGGCTGTTGAGGCTGGAGGTGTGGGAAAGGTTTGAAGTTAAAGTTGAGCGTTTTCCATTTTATGATTACTGATGTAAACTTTGATACTATTCTCCAAGATATTTTCTGCACAGTGAGAATGTCTTCTAGCTGTTTGGCTTTACTATTCAAGGGTAGATCCTCATGTTATAAAAGTCGGTACTGGATGGAGCAAAAATGAAAACATGAATTATGTACAATAACTCCAATCGACTGTGTAAGAATGTCCATTATCAATCAGATTTGTTCCTTTGTTATGACATGATGTGTAGTGTCTGAGACGAAACAGCACCTCGAGGAGGATGGGAAGAACCCAACCTGATGTTTCAGGAAAACATAGAGGTGAGTCTGAATGTGACATCAGAGGTTTGTATCCAGGGCACACAGGAAGGAGGAATGAGCTCCTACTGTTTGATATTCTTTGGCACCTCCAGGCCGGTCAGTAAGGTCACCTGAAGGGAAGAAAACAAATAAAAACACTCAGCAAGCGGACGGCTACACATACATCTTTCAGGTTTCACTGTAAGGGCTTTGCTGGATTCACATTTTGCAAGTTTTTGTTCTCCATTTTGGCTTCAACTGCTTCTAAAAATGGTTAAAGCGCTTAAAAAGCCACACATATGTTTTTAGGCAATAAGTTAATGTTCTTTTTGGTGTCTGGAAAACCAGCTATTTCACAAATCAGCAGGCTCTGCCCGTTACTTAGCAACCCCAATGTAATTCTGCCTGTAACCTAGCAACCCCAGTGGAATTCCGCCTGTAACCTAGCAACCCCAGTGGAATTCCACCTGTAACCTAGCAACCCCAGTGGAATTCTGCCTGTAACCTAGCAACCCTAATGGAATTCCACCTGTAAACTAGCAACTAAAGCTGAGCTCTAGAGCAATTCGTCAGCTTTGCTTTTGTAAATCTGGGAAATGAGTCAAAATTCTGGCTACTTTAATTTGAATAAACAAATTTTTATTTTTATTTGGATGTCATTGTCTTTCTTTAGTATAAGTCAGTGGTACACAGTTAGCATAAGAAAGGAAAAATCAAACAATCCTTTATCTGCATCTCCAGCTTCATAAATTCTAAAACGCTGGAAGTAATATTTTTAAGCAACCCAGTCAGAGACCTGACTGAAATCTCATAAAAAAATATTTGGAGGGAGTCAGTGAGCACACTTAACTGGTAACCTAGTCTTTTTGGTTTGGAAATGTTTAGCACACCTAGCTTTCCCCAAATAAATTTTTCTGGATAAATTGTAAAGCTCTAATTTACTTGGCTGTTTTGTAATTTTTAGCTGAATAAAGTTCAACATTTGTGTTGAAGTTTTGGTTATCGACATAAGAATATTCAAGTAGTGAGACGTTTATATTCATTCTGTTTTTATGATTTGAATATATCCTGTTTACTCAGTAGTTTTGGCTATTAAATCAAGTTCTAGTTCCCAGAGTCTGAAGACAGTTTCAGAGCCTGATCTCTTTAAAAGCATCAGTCCTTTTAAAGAGTACTGATCCAGATGATCCAGATGATGTCAGTAACTCCTCAGAAAATGTTCCAGGCACCAAAGCAATAAAACACACCGACCTGAACGTTTCTGTTAAGGCTGACAGCAGGAACAAAAACGCCGTCCAGGTTCTCGAAGGCTGTTGGTCCGTGCTGCTCCTTGTTTATGAAGAAGGTCAGGGTGCGTTTGGTCAGGTCCAGCAGGATGCCCACAGTGGAGCCCTTCGTGATGCCGCCCTCCGCTCTGCCAGCACAAACACAGAGAAGATAGCAGGTCACTTTGAAACGAGGTGGAACAGTGAAGAAGTGAGCATTTCTAGTTCTTCAACTGCGCTATTCCGCTCAAATCTCGCTGCTTCACAGCACAGTGTCAGCTAGCATCGAACCGGCGCATTAGGTAGGTCGTGGCCAAACGATTGGATGTGGTTGAAAGGGGTGGTATTTTGTAAAATCAACTTTTTTGAGTTTTACATCATGTTATAAAGTTATTTCCTCATAAAAACACACCTGGATTGTTGCTTTGATTCTTTTGCACATGTTTGAGAAATCCTGTAATCTCCATGGTAACCATTCAGCAGTGTAAAACGCCTGGGTGGACCTAGTCCCCCCTTCGAGGACTAAGATCCTCCTCGGTTCTGCAGCTTCCAAGCTGCTGAGCCTCACAAAGATTATTTTTTGGCAATACGTAAAATTTTTTTGTAGTCTGGAAAACGAGCAATTTCAAAACCCTCCCGATTGTTGAGTCACACTTGGCCTTTACCTAGCAACTCCAGCCAAGCCCAGCCCCGTTACCTAGCAACCCAAAAGAAGCTCCAGCACATGTGGTCGGTGAGTTTTATTGCAGTATGCGCTGCACAATGGCTGTTGGAAAAGTGTTTTATTGCTAAGAAACAACCTGCTGCATTTTTGTTGGTTTTGCAGGAGCCTACACTAATGCTTTTCAAAGATAACCAAATGGCCCAACCTTCCTAAAAACAATGCTACTGTGCTTCTCTACTTGTGGTGACGATGAACTCCTACCTGTTGGTGTGGGAGTTGTTATGCATGAACCAGGACCGGTTGTTGTCCACATACATGGCCCAGGCCTTGTCGTCCTTCCCCAGCATCATTTCTTTCATGGTGTTGATCCTCGCCACGCCGAAGGCAGGGTCCGGGTGGTTGTCATAGCGATCAATGGTGACTTCCCAATAGTGAGTTCCCTGAAATGTGTGGAAGAATTGTGTGGAAACTTTCATTTGTTTTCCACTACGGATGTGAGCAAAGCTCTGTCGATATTGTGCTAATGTCAAAATTGTGGTGTTTCCATTAGATAAACACAAATAAAAAAAGTTTGTTCACTTGGTGTTTTTAAATAACATTTTACTCCAATTACTTCCTGTTGTCATCTTCTTAGTCATTTCTGTCAGTAGTAACATCTGGTTGTTGATCACATGACATGTTGATGCGAAAACAAAATGTTTTTATTGCAGTTTTGCGAATTAACCAATTTCAATATAGCTAAAAAAAACACAACACCTCAACGTAGCGCCAAAACTTTTAATGAAAAAGCAAGAGTTTTTTGAATTTCCATGTTTTTATTAAGCAAATTTATTTTCGAAATGTCAAATTTCACAATTATATGTTCAATGGAAACACAGCTACTGTAATATAATCATCTGGACAGAGAAAATGTTAAATTTAAAACCACCCTTACCTTTGAGAACGCAGCCGTCCCCAGAACCACGCGGTCGTCGTAGCTGCTACACGTAGCCGTCTGATTCTCATTAGACAGAACAATGTCACGATGAGCCGAGGTGGGGTCAAAGGTGAACCAAGCCACTGTAAGGACAACAATAAACTTACCCAAGTTAAATATGTGTGTAAATAAAAATAAATATGTGACTAATTAGCATTTGCTTTCGTGCTTTCTATGAGATTCTTGGCAAATTTCATAAAAAACGAGCTGACTCATCGCTAAGCTGGAGATATTTGTAAGTTCAGTTAAATCTTTAATACAATCATCAATTTAGTGCAATAAATACATTATGTAAAGCAGGGAAGTCAAAGTCATTTTCACCAAATCAACATCATGAATATTGTTGAACGGTCAGCTGTACCAGATTTGACAATATTCAGTTAAAGAACTGCATTGATTTGACTGATATAAAAATACTTAAGCACACAACTTCCACTGTAGTCTAAAGGGCCGCATTAAAGCCTATGACGGGCCAGATTTGGCCCCCGGGCCTTGAGTTTGACACATAATATAAAGGACCCGATGTATTATTATCATCGATGATGGCATTAAATTGACCATAGAAAAGCATACAAAGTAAAAGAGAGTTGTCTTAACAAAAACAGGATGCAATATTTGTTGTTAAATTGTTGTATAGAGAAAAAAAATATTAAATTGGAGAAAGAATTTGTTGGACTTTCGACAAAGGAAACCATATAATCATGATTGTTGAACTGTGAAAAAGTAAGATGTGCCTGTGTATAAATTTAGTATAATTGTGCATCTGTTTGCAGCAATCTGTTGGGATAATCTTAGATCATAATATCATCTGCATAGAGTATAATCTGACTTCTACTCTACTGCTGCCTCAACCTTACTGGATGTCAAGTTATAGTTTGTGAAATCACATTCACTGTCATACAAAAGAGCAAGTATTAATAAATTATCTTCAAAAACCTATTGAAAAAGAAATGACACAAGTGTGAGTGTAAATGTTGAGTTGGGGGGGCGTGGCCAGCAGAAACTTATTTGGATTTAAAGTGACAGACGCCCTAAATTAGTTCATTCTGAAAATTCAAAAATCCTATTATCTAAGAATGATTTTGTGTAAAAAATGTAAGGAGTATAGGCCACATATCAATCCTAACCATTAAGGAAGCTGGTTAGGTCACAATAATGGCGAACAAAAAGTCTGTTCACACTTAAGTCATGAATTATCTTTTTATGCTGGATAGAAATTATTTTTTAAAATTTCTTAGAGAAATAATAATCTTTCTTATTTTTGACTTTCATTTTACGTCTCCTTCACTATTCTTTTTGTACATCATGATTTTATAAACAGAAAATTCACACAAACAAAAGCCAAACTGTACGTGCAGACATGATTTATTTACCGTCAGAAGTCTTGAGCACCACCGTCTTGCTGTACGGTCCGACTCCGACGGCGTTGTAGGCTTTCACCCTGGCGTTGTAGGCGCTGTTGAAGTGCAGGCCGTCCACCGTGCAGACCGTCTCCTTCCCCACATACACCTCCTGAGGTCCAACATGTCTCAGCATCATTACTAATGCCGTTTACATGGAGGCAAGCACAGCTTATAATGTGCATAATACATGAGCAAAGAGGTCGAGAAATGTTTGTTTACCCATGCCGTAATTAATCACTTTTCATATTCCAGAGCAGCTTTTTCATTATAAATAACAAGAGCTACAACAGAAAGTTTGACACCAATAGCTGTATTTTGGTTAGATTTATTGCTCTTTATCAATAATCTGGACAAAATGATCAGCTATAAGAAATTTTCTGCATGTTTGGGGAGAGGTACGTTAAGTTGTCACTGCTAATTTTATTTCTAATTACCATGATGCTGGAAAAAACACAAATACTCCACTGTTTTCATGCACTAATAATCAACATTTCAACTCTATGTACCTTTCTCAGCTTCCATGTTACACTCGTTATGCTTCACTACAGACTGTCATCCGCCTGCTTCCTACTCATTTAAATCACAATATCATCTGCATAGAGTATAATCTAAGGATTCAAAATCTGTTTAAACTTTTTGTTTTTACAATGGTTTTGTAGAAAAGTGAAATATGTCCTAGTCTTTCATTTTAGATTATGGAAGAGAATTAAAACCACTGGAGAGAAAAAAACCCCTAACAAATACCTGAAATAAGTCACAGAATTAGAACTTTAATATCCAAATTCTGATTTTGGTCTCAGATTTCCGACTTTAATCTGAGAACAAAGTAAGAATACTGACCTTAATTCTTAGATTAAATTCTGGCTTAATCTTAGAATAATGACTCTGGCTTTAAAGGAAGAAATCAGAGAATAATCTGAAAAGAAAGTCAGAATTCTGACAATGTTCTCAAAATTCTTAGATTAAATTCACAACTCCAAATTTATTCCAAGAATTTTGAGATTAAATTCAGAATTCTGTCTTAATCTCAGAACAGTGACTTTGATCTCAAAATTCTGACAGTTTTTTTTTTTACTTTAATCTGAAAAAAAAGGAATAATTTTGACCTTAATTCTGAAATTAAATTCAGAATTCTGATTTAATCTCGGAATACTCACTTTGATCTCAAAATTCTGACTTTATTCTTATAATTTTGATATTAAATTCAGAATTGTTGTTTTAAACTCATAATACTGATTTTAGCATCAGAAATGTCAGAATTCTGACTTTAATCAGCCATAAAATAAAACATGTTTCTCCAGAAAGTTCACATCTCTGCCATTGAAGCTTGTTGCTCGTCTGCATTAATTAATTTATTTTTATGCAGTGGCCTTTATTTTCCTCCATGCTGCTTTGTACCAGGCATGTGTAATAACTAACCCTGTATTGCCCTCCATTCCCATCGTCCAGCTCCAGGATGTAGCCCTCAATGGGGCAACTGGCAGGCGCAGTTACCCTCCAGGCCAGGGTGGCGCTGTTGTTCCTGGTGCAGCATTTCTCCAGCTGTAGTAGAGGCGCCACTGGCACCGCGGGTCCTAAATCCACTGGGGAACGAGATACGTGGATGCAATATTAATCTAGACATAAAGCAGAAAGCAAGGAGCAAGGAAAGGGGGATGGGCGGTCCGAGGATAAAAGCTGGATGAGGAAAAACGGAGGACGCTGGTTGGTGTTGTTTTAACAAGCTGAGGGAAGAAAACAGGAGCTTTAAAGAGAACCTAGAGGGAGCACAAAAACGCCTCAGAGGGGCAAAGAAATCCAGGTTCATTTGGAGGACAACAGCTGGAAATCACTGGAGACTTTAACTAGGACATTTAACACTCTGAAGGGAAGCGGTGGAAGTGGTGAACGGGTTAGACTGATACAAGCTCTGACTTCAGGGGCACAAATCACTGGATCCAGGTGGTAAATCTGCATGAAATTAGGATTATATTGGCTGAATTTATATCTGACAACACAGGATTAGGGCCATCATAGATAGAAAAATAAAAGTCAGTTGTTTTTAGATTAATCCTAAACAAGGAAATTTCTGAGCTTGAAAAGTTAAAAATTTGCAAGAAAAACTCAGAAATTTTGAGATTAATCTCATAAACTTTCTAAAAATATATATCTGAGTTTGAAAAGTAAAAACATTTGGCAGAAGAAAATCTAAATATTTCAAATTAATCTGAAAAATTCTCTGTACAAAATAACAGGTAAATATCTCCGTTTGAAAAGTCCAAAATTCACTAAAAATTATTTGGAAACTTTGATTAGTCTTAGAAATTTTTAACATTCAAAATTCAAAAGTTGAAAATTTTCAACTTGTTTTTTATAGAAAATTTCACAAATTTTTGCAAAAATTTACTCCTTTTTTGTTTTCTATCTACAACGTCCCTATTATTCCGTCATATTTTCTGGTATTTGAATACATTCATAAAAGCAGAATTAAATTATATTTAGTCAGAAGTATATCAGTCTAACCGCGGTGCTGTGAGGAAACTGGTGCTGAACAGGAGAAAAAAAGACAAAATGCAGATTTGAGTCATAACTCAGTTTTTATGAGTTTTCTGGGATATTTATCCAAAAACAGTTGTGAAGACACAAGGGAAAGGCAGCAGTCATGACAGAACGGGAATCACCAGAGGATTTTCATTCAGAATATTCATTTTCTATCTTATTTTTTCCATTCGCAGCAGAATGTTCTCCTTCCATTCACTCTGTTCTTTCCTCCAAGCTCAAAATTTATTTTATAAAAGACTCCAACTGAGCTTCAGTCTGGATTTCAGCACCATGGCTGAATAAAAGGTCTTATATAACCCTGAATATGTGTGACTAAATATAAACCAGTGACTGTTTAAAACAAAGAAGTTAATCTTTTTACTATTTAATCTAGTTAAAGAGCCAAAACAGTAAAAATATTTATAATTTTCTAAATGTGAAGCGTTTTGTAGGCCAATCCAACTCAACCTAAAAACAAGCAAATAAAGTAGCCCAATTATTTTTATTTCTATTAAAATTATACATTTATAGAAATGGATATTTATTGTAGATCAAAAACTTGAAAGGGATTTTAACAACCGTTTATTATGGTTTAAAATAGAAATGAAGAAAAAAAACGGCAGAGTGAATTTCTGCCAAAAAACTCAAGAAATTAGTAATTAGTGTCAGAAATTTTCTAGAAAGAAATTTAGAAATTTTTGAGTTTTAAAAGCCAAAAAATTTCAAACTTAAAATGTTTCATTTTTTTAAACAGACATTTCCAACAAGCTTTTTGCCAAAAATAGAAAAAACAACTTTTTATTTCATATATTTAGACTGATACTTGTTATTATTATTTATTTTATTATTAATGGAGCCTTGAAATGAAATTTTGCTCAAACTGAACATTTTAAATGAACAATTGAATAACAATAAAGTCTGCATGTCTAAATGTGCTCCTTTTTTGGTCACTTTCTGTCAAAACGATTCCTATATTTATCCAGGTTTAAGAAAGAATAATAGCCGATTTCAGTAAAAGCCTCTGGATAAACGTAGTGTTATCGTTTGTTAAATAAAGGTATTAAAAGGTGAATACTTTGTAAGAAACTTATGTTGGTAGTTAAGGTAAAACGGCAAAAATATGTATAAACTCTTGATATAAATAAATGTTTTATTGCTGTAAAGCTTGAATAAATTTCTGCAGAGGTGATATAAAAACATTAACCATGCAGAGAGACGCTGCTGGACAAAAGGAGAAGTGAGTTTCCAGCTGACATGACGGTGAGGGCTGCAGAGGAATGAGGCAGGAATGACAAAATACATTAAAAATGGAAACAAAGGTTCACTGAGGGTTTGTTTTTTTTCTGAAATACCTCCGGGGCTCTCGGCCTCCATCTCAGCCTCACCACTGTCTGCTGCTGCCTGCATTAGTTTCAAAAGCGGTTTCTCCTGCACATCTGGAAACAGGACGTTGGTTTGGGGAGTTTCACACAACAGGAGAGCAGAGAGTGAAACCAGAGGAAAATTCAACATGAGTTCAACAAGCGACGGAGCCGAGGCTGCGGGGAAATCATAATAAAATGGTTATAAATGTCTTTATTTTGAGTCTATGATGGAGTTTTAGGGCCATACTGACAATAAATAAAAAATAAAATTAGGAGGATAAAGTCAAAACAATAAGAACAAAGTTACTGAGAGGGTAATACTTCATCTAAAGTTCTTGTAATGCTTTGACAAGAGTAAAGTCAAAGTATTAGAAAAACTAAAATAAGTTTAAAGTCAAAATATTATGAGAATATAGTCACAGTATGACTTTCAAAAGTCAAACATGTTTGACGTTTCAAACTCAGAAATTTTCATTTTGTTTTAAAAAATTTCTTAGATTAATCTCAAAAGTTCTGAACTTTTTTGCCAGAAATTTGCACCTTTTTGTTTCCATCTATGAGGCCCAAACACACCATCACACCTAACTAATGAATGGAGATTATTTAGTGGATTCTGTTGTTACATGTCAGACATAGTAAAATATCATGAAAGTCTAATTTTAATATTTATTTTTTTGTTCTCGTAAGGTCAATTCTTTTTTAAAATAATGTTGACATTTGCAAAGTGCGCTCTTCTCTTTCGAGTTCTTCTTCAGGCTTCAGCAAAGTAAAAACCAGAAAAATCAGCAGAATTTTCCCTCATCAAACATTGAATCATTTTTATGATAATCGCGGAGAAAGACTCCCACACTCTGTCGTAGCTTTGAATGTCAAAGACTGAAACGCCAAATAAAATCTGATCGGCCATCTTTTAACCCTGCAGCTGTGTTCTGGATGATCAGTGAGATGCGAATGTGGGGAAATGAGGCGGCGAGTTTTGTGTCACCAGAACAAAGGCGGCTTGATCAAAGCTGCAGCTCAGATTACACAAACTCTGCTAAAGTGCAGCTCCACTTCAAGAACCTGCAGATTTATGAGTCTAATTATATTTTCATAGCACTTAAAGTAACGTAACAGTGTTTGAATTAATGCATGTCATTAAGTTTTTATTTTCTTCACCATTAAGTGCCTCATAACACAGAGAGCTAGACGTTTTAACTGTAATAGTAGAAACAAATAAAAAATAACTGATGGCACAGTGAAGCTGTGCAGAAAACAGAACATGAAAATAGATACAACTGAGTGAATCATTTGACGTTATTTCAGTTTCAAAATATATGTTTTCAGGTTGAAATCTGGTTTTCTTTCCAGTTTAACATTTTTTAGCTGAAACTCTGTTTTTCCGCTTCGAAGCATTTTTTTCAGTTAAATTTTATTTTTTCAGTTATTTGCTTTTCAATTTCAAAATAACTTTTCAGTTTCAAAGTTTTTTTTCAGTGTCGATTTTTGTCAGTTTCAGATGTTTTTTTTTTTTCACATTTTCAAATTTTGCTTAGTTTAATATTTTCCAGTTTCAACCATTTCTTTTTTCAGTTTCAAAATATTTTCTTCAGGTTCAAATTTTCATATTCAACCACAACAGGGTTTTTTTTTTTCAGCTTCAAAACTTTTTTCAGTTTACATTTTTTTATTCCAATTTGTTTTTGAGTTTCAAAGTAACTTTTCAGTTTCAAATCCTTTTTATTTTCTGTTTTTTTCTTCTTTAGATCAAACTTCTTGGCCCTTCTGTAGCTCCATAGCAGAGTGTTTGCTGGTCAGGTGTGCTCACCTTTGCCCTGGCAGAAGTCCAGCTGCAGGATGGTCTGCATCAGCGAGTCGGTGTTCAGGCTGAGGTCAAAGTCGGGGCCGACCTTTGGCTCCAGGGCCCCTTTCACCCACTGGTCCTGGGACGACGTCACCCGCTTGATCAGGGCGTCCGAGATCTGAGCAGCCAAATCAAAACGCAGCCCGACGTTTGAAAAACAGACGCTGAATAATTTGTAACAAACACTCTGCTGCCTTCAAAACGACAGAAACTGGAGCAAAATGTTTGATCATTTACTGCTGCAGGAGATGAAAAATAGACGAATGCATCACATTAGAACGTGGGTTTAAAACATTTACCCTGCAGCTGTTTTTGTTTTGCTACATTTTCTGTGAGCTTGGTCCAAACTGCAGAGCGGTTTATTCCTCACAGCCTCAGTGAAGACTTTAGACATCACTATTGATACCAAGAACCTGATCAATATGTTATAAAATATCCAGGATAAACGGAGAGGATGGGATGCTTGTGTGGCCGTTTTTAAGTCATTTAAACTCAAAAGCAGATCATGTTTTGTATCCATTTCATATTTAACTGCAGTAGATTTAAAACTAGACACAATTAAACACTAATCAGTGTAATTTCATTGTTTTATTTTGGGTATTTGTCCTTCCCTACCTGCAGGAAGCCACTGGGGTCGTTCTCCTTCAGGACCTCCAGGCAGTACTCCATCATGCCGGTGGTCTGCCTCAGCTTCATGGTGCAGTGGGTGATCTGGTCTCGCACCACCTGCCAAACATCAAACTCATCAGGATTCAACTCCGTTTGCTTTCAAAGGCAACGTTTATATTGCCAGTCAAAAGTTTCAAGATGGAGGCGTGACCTTTAATGCTACACTGGAGGTCAAATCTCCAGGTCACTTTCCATCCGGGTAGGGAGAGAAATACCTCTGCGTCTCAGGTGTTTGAGTTTTTAGAGGTCACTAGTTCTGTTTGTGCTTTTTCACCTCAATTCTTCTGTTTTCAAATCACAAATTAGTTACGGCTGCATCTGCAGAGAACCGTTAAGCTACAGCTGACTGAACCTGTTCTCAGGCGTCGTGTTGGTAAACAAAAGCCTGGGATGAAGAAAGGAACCTGGCATGAAGTGGGCGTCATATCGAAGAGATAAATCTGACTTTAATCACAGAATTATGATTTTTTTTCCCCCCTCAAAATTAAAATATCAATCTTCTAAGTTTAAAGTCAAATTTTGAGAAAAAAAAATTAGAATTCAGTCAAAGATTTCAGAAAAAAAGTCAAAATTTTGAGACAAAATCTGAATTCTGAGAAAAAAAATCCAAAATTTTGAGATTAAATTCTAATTCTGAGAAAAGTCAGAATGTTCAGACTGAAGTACTAATGAGGGGGAAAAGTTCAAATTCTGGAGGGGAAAAAAGAAAAGAAAAAAAAATTGAGAATAAATCCGAATTCCACAGAAAAGGTCAGAATTGTTACTTTAAAGTACAAATACTGAGGAAAAAGTCTGCATTCTGAGAAAAAAAAATACAAATTTTGAGATTAAACTCAGAATTCTATGAAAACAAGTCAGAATATTTTGGTTCAAGTCAGAATTTATTTTTTTAGTGGTCCTAATCAGCCAGTTAGAAGCATGAGAGCAAAAAGAGCAAATCGCCACCAGCAGGTCTTTAACTAAACACAGCAGAACAGCAGAAGAGACGCCTCTGTGCTCTGGGTTGAGCTGAAGATCAGACAGAAAACATCTTGTGACTCTCAGATAATTAAACCAGCGAGCGCCTGGACGAGTCTGAGTTAATTAGACGGAGTCTTTGTGATTAGTCGCCTCGTTTGTTTGAGGATTAACGATATCCAAGTTAATTATTCACCTGTCAACAACTGTCTAGCCTGAAATATGAAGAGCATAAAGAGTTACACTAAACACCTGATACTCTGAGCATCTGGCTTTTTAAAACGTGAATGGCTTGATAGTTTTCTTGTTGCTCTTTGGTCTTGCCATATTATTTCAGTTTTCTCTGTCCATTGTTGTAGCAAAGGCATTGCCATATTAGTTTATTCCTGTCTTTTATTTGTGTACTTTTGAGTGGATAGATTAGATTATTTCCACAGTTTTTTCAATTATTCCTAAAATTCCTACAAGTCATTTAAAAATGACCTGTTTTAATTTTCTGCTATAACAAATTTTATAAAAACCAGAGTCTGATTGTCTTTAATCATCCTCAAAATCACATGTAAGTAAACTTTTGAAGGATTACAACTCAAACTGAACAGTCTGTGTAAATATTAAGTTAAACCAATCAAAGGACATTTTGAACCATATTGTACGGCATTTTAAGCCAAAGACCTTTCATTATTTCATTCACCATCTAGATAATTGCAGCAATATCCTTCTGCTTCATCTCACCTGATTTTGATGAATGGGTCATTATGAGGTTCCTGCAGAATTAATTAAACTGACTGCATGAAGAGCGCCGGAGCAGCTAAAGGCACCGAGGCGGAAAAACTCTGCTCTAAATACAGAAGCAAACATTATTTTACTATTAAAAGCAGATGTAATCAATCTTTATCAAACAACATTATGTTCAATTTTATAGAAACTTTTCTAAACTTTTATAGTCTGGCTTTAAAAATCTGTGCTTTTTAATTGATTAGGCAGATTTTGCTAAAAGACTTGTGTTCACAATCTGACATTTTAAATAAATGAAATGTGGAGCATTTCATATAAATAAATGAATAAACTGATGGAGATATTTACATGGAGGAACATGGGAAACATGGAAATGGTTTTCTATGAAGACAAAACAAAAATAAGCTGCTTTTATGGAATACATAAATCACAAAAAGAGTTTACAAAAACATGAAAACCAATGAAAGCACATTAGGACGTATTGGGGCCAAATTAGACAAAAAACAAAAAAAGTGCATTTTCGCAAAAAAAAAATCTCGTAGATGTTCTAGAAAAATAACATTCTGAGCTTGAAAAGTTGAAAATTTGAATTTTTTTTGGGGGGGGGGGGGGAACTTGGAAATTTCTCAGAAAAAAAATTGAATTCAGTCAAAAATGTCAGAATTCTGAGAAAAAAACTGAATTCTACAAAAAAACAAATTTCTGAGAAAAAAAATTCTAAGCAAATAAATTGTATTCTGAGGGAAAAAAAAATCTAAAATCTGCAAAAAAATCTGAATTTTGAGAAAAATGTCAGAATTCTGAGGAAAATGTCTGAATTCTGAATAAAAAAAAATCTAAATTCTGGTAAAAAGAAAATCTGAATTCTCATTTTAAAGTCAGAATTATGAGATGAAATTCAGAATTTGGAGAAAAAAAGCCACAAATTTTCTAATGAAAAAGGAAACATCTTCAAATATGCCAAAGATGTTACTAGGAGATGGAACCCTGCTAGTGAGCGTTAGCTTGAAACCATTTTTTTGAATAATTAAATGCAATTTAAATTCATAGTTTTTAAATCTTCTGGGCTTTCGTGAAGTTCTTTATTATAAACTCTTGTAGATCAGAATAAAGTCCATAAATCACGTTGTGTAATGCAACATCTTGAAACATTTTGAAACATATACCTCTACAGATCCCTCACATTCTTTCACTGTCGCACACTGAGAGTCTGCGTGGGTCGGTGGGTCTCACCTTCAGCTTGTACTCCTTCTCCTTGGTGACTTTGGTGAGCAGCTTGGCTTTCTGTCTCGTCAGCGCCTCGATCAGAGAGTCACACTGAGCCACAAGGCAGGCTTCAAACTCCACTCCGTTCTCCTGGAGCAAACAAACATCATGCTAGTAGCGCTTAGCTCAGTGCGATTTATTTTCCTTTGAGACGTTTCTCAGTGATCGGATGTGAAAATAGGATCTGTTGGTGTAAATGTGTTTACCCACCAGCTCAGAGATGCTTTTTGTTTGTCATTAAAATGTAAATTTATCGTCTCGGCTGCACAAACATGAACACAGGGCGGTGATTATTCTAGCGTTGATACAAATATAATTACTTCTTCTAGTTTGGAGGCTGCACTCTGGTCTGAACCATCCCCCACTTCTCAATATGCAGCACAGGAAGAAAGGATATCTTCTGTCGGCTGCAGTTCTGAGTTTGAGCTGCAACAGTAAAACATTTCCTGACAGCCAGAAGCTTTTTCTCCGGGTCGGAGCAGCAAGCAGCTGGATTACAGGGACATGTGACCACAGAGATCGATTTATTTTGTTGGATTCTTATGTGGAACCCCAAAACAAAACAGCATGGACTTACGACAGAGTATTAGCCAGCAAAAAACTAAAAAAAGATGAAATTACAAAACTTATGCTATAAAATTATGAGAATAAAGTCGTATTATTATGAGAAAAAGCAGCTGCATGCTTTGTCCTGCTACTGAAAATGATCTGATGCTGTGTTTATGTCGACTTTATTCTGGATTTTATTCTGGTAATATTACAACTTTATTCTGGTAATATTACAAGAATTTTCTTCAGAATAAACCCAATTAATCCACTTTTGGGTCCTTTCTTTAGCGCATAAATACATAATTTTATTTAAAAAAAACAAACTGAACATCAGAATCCATTCGATTACGAGACGACGTCTGAAACCGTATATTTTTTTTCCCGTTTGGAGCGGCTCCCTCGGCACTGAGCTCAGATCTTTAAGAGGATCGTCTCTTTATTTCACCCTCTTTCAGGCCATGCAAACAAAACTTTTATTTTTTAATTTAAATTCAATCCTCCCTGTTTTATTTTAAGACTCTTAATTCCTGCACATGCTGTTGGAGGAAATGTGTGTGCGTGAGCGGCAGATGCTGCGAGTGGAGATCAGCTGCAGAGTAAAACAGTCTGCAGGGAAACACACACACTCTGCATGTATCGTTTGTTGTCTGGTTCGTTGATCTACTGGATTTATTTCCCTTCTACTGATCTAAAAAAGACCAAATGTTACTTTACGGCTGATTTATTTCGGCCTTATGCTTCATTACAAGCAGGTGTTTCAGAGAAAATATACTTAAATGAATATGTAAAAAGTGATGATTTTGGATTTTGTTGCAGGAAAAATGCAAAGAAAAGAAACACAATCTGCTATTTAGGAAAAAAGTTAACAAAAAGGAGTATTTTCTTTCGGGTTCAAAACGAAAATCTGAATTTTATCTTTTCTGCTTCTGTGTTTCCTTGTGAGAGTTTGACAAAAAAGTTTTTTTTTTAAAGTCGCCTGCTGGGAGTTCAGTCAGCAGAAATTTCCTTCATGGTTTTGTTCTGAAGATGGCGTCGACTCACCTCCAAAGCTAACATTTATCACCTTTATGCTTCATCGTTTGATGGAATAAATGCAAAACTATCAGACAGAAATCTAATTTATAGAAGTTAACTGACGTCGATCATTCTGAAGAGGACAAGGGCCACTGAAAAAAGACCTTTAATTCCAGAGTTCTGACTTTTTTCACAAATTTCTAGAAAGAAAATCAGAATTTCAACTTTAATCTCAGAACTTAAAGTGATTTAATATATAAAAGATTTTACTGAGAGAAAAAAGTGAAACCTCTGAGATTAAATCTAAAATTCTGAGACTAAAGTAAATTTGTAATTCTCAGGAAAAGCACATCATTCTAAACTCAGAAATTTGTGACAAAAAACATGGATATTTCTGAGTCTGAAAAGTTGAAAATGATCGACTTTTTAAACACGACTAACACGATTTTTTATTTTAAAAAAAGAGTTTATTAGAAATAGCCTAACTTATTTTTAAAATGTCGAATTGCAGTTTTATTGTTAGTGGAAACACAGCTACTGACAGGTTTACCTCCCTGCAGATTGTATGTTCAGGTGACGTTTGTGGGCGTCCTTCAGCTCACCTGTATCTGCTGCAGCATGTTCTTGAGCTGAACCAGGAACTCTTTGGCCTCTTTTGCTTTGTCAGAGACGCCGTTCAGAGCCTGGGAGAGCTGGCACTGCACACAAACACCGAGGGTTTCACATCAGGCCACACGTCTCCAAACGTCCAAAAAAGACATTTTGCTTTTCATTAAAACTGAAAAAAAATTCTTATAGACAATATTTCAATATAGTATTTGAATACATAAAAAAAACACACAGGCTCTTACACTGTTGCTGTATGAAATAAGTATATATTTTCGAAAACTGCTTGGCGCTTGCTGTTTTCAGTAAAGCCGTTAAAAGAAAAATTATTTAATACCAAAAAAAGAGAACCTTTTAGTTGTTTCTAAAAATCCCTCCCTATGCTTATAGGGCCAAACAAAATCCTCCAGAGGGCCACAAATGGCCCCCAGGCCACACTTTGGACATCCCTCCATTAGGCTGCAGTTCATATCTCTGTTTTCGTTTTGAAGCAATTTGCCTTACTTTACATGACAGAGTATTAGGACCACGTTAAGCACATAAAAAACAAAATTACGAAATAAAGTCATAATATTAGGAGAATAAAATTGCAAGAATAAAGTTGCAGTATTACAGGTAATATTACAATTTTATTCTCGTATTATTTCGTCTTTATTCTTGTAATTTTATATTGTTATTTTTTTTGCTCGTAGTAGGGCCCTAATACGCAGTCGCAGCTGTATATGTATAAAATCTATAAATTTAAAATTAAATATGCATTAAAACACACTTTTATTAAAGAAATTAACTATTTCCAAACAAGCCTGCTATGAACATTGAGAATGAAAAAAGTAAAATAAATAAATCAGTTATATTATCTTAGTGTGTGTGTGGATTTAAGGTTTCCATCCCTCTGAGTAAAACTGTGCAACCAGTTCAACCAGTGATGCTTCTGTGCTGGTTATGTAACCAGACCCAGTACTCCTGATCCTAACCCTAACCCTGAAACAAAGTCCCTGGGAATTTCTTCCACATGCCAAAAGAATAATAATAAAAGACTCTTCATTGTCGCTATAATATGGATTAAATTTAAAATCTCCATCAGATCATCTGCAGAGATTAGAGGCTGGAAAATCCATGAAAACACAATTTGTCATGTTTGCAAATTCACATTTAATGCAAATAATACTCTTCTGTAGTAATCAATAGAAAGATACCAAACCTCACCCATATGCTACATTTAGGATTATTAATTTCAAATACTCTTAATGGGATTTAGAGAAGAAAAATACGCTAATCCTCAATAAACTGGCTTTAAATAAACAAATCCTTATATGTTCTTAAATAACACGCAAACCAAATACATCCTGATTCTAAAATGCTGTTGTGAAATCAAACAAATTACAGATCTGTGATGTAAATAAAGGTTAAGCTAATATTGGAATCTGAGCAGAAGCACTGAAGCTGTCAATGAACAAACAGCTAATGCAGTTCAGCATATCTGGGTCCTGCAGCAGCTGGATGAAATATTGATGCTCTGCTGCAGAAATACAGGTTAACGAACGCAGCTCAACCTACAGCTTCCATGCCTCAAACAAAATTTAATTAAGTTTAATAAACATGCATATCAAACAAAACTTGATGTATTTTGCAAGGATTTCATAAGATAAATCAACACAAAGTGACCCGTCACAGTGACTGTATTACTGTTACAAATATGCAAAAACATGTTGATATTCTGCAAATGTAAAACGAAAAACATAATTTCATAATTACTGTTTCCGTTAAATAAGAAACACAATTAAAATCACATGTGAACAAGTATGTTCATGTCTTAAATCATTAAAAAACATGCAACGCCATCATCATCAAACTACTTCCTGTCGTCTTCATCATTTCTGCCAGTAGTAACATCCTGCTGTCCATCACGTGACTCGTGAGATGCGATAAAAGTTTCGTTGTTGTGGTTTTGTGAAATACACTAATATTGATAGAGACAAAAACCACGTCATTCTACCACAAAAACTTTTAATCGGAAAAAATGAGGTTTTTTTGGAATTGGCGTGATTCCATTAAGCAAATTTATTTTTGTAATTCCAATTTGGATAATTTTATGGTCAATGGAAACGCAGCTTGGGTTTGGATCAATATCTGCATAAGAACTCTACAATAAAAAAAAAACATGGAAATCTGTGAGTTTGAGAAATCAAAAATTTGCTAGAAAAACTGAAATTTTTAGATTAATCTCAGAAATGTTCTGCAAAAAATTGGAAATTGAACGTTTTCCACTTTTAGAAGTTTTTCCAGAAAATTTCTGAGATACATTTATTTTAAATCTACAATTATAGAAAAATCTGCACATAAAAATCATAGCTATTTTTAGGCTAGATAAGGTAAACTTAAGTGTAAGTCAGAAATCCTACAGCACCTGAACGCCACATCCAAAGCTGCTGACGAAACACACGCTCTATGAATGGATTGATTTTACTGGAAGGGCAAACTGATTGCCATTTGTCACTGTGACACTTCAAAAATCTATATTAATACAAGTGAAATTACATTTTATGAGCGTCAGATAAAATATTTATTGCTGAGCTGACTTTTTGTTAGAAGATATAAAAAATCTGATTAAACTAAATGTTTTCTGGTTGATTCTTGGAAACACACAACTGTATGCCTAAATCTGGCGCATCTAAAAATACTCCACCCTTACTGTAAACTTGTAGATTATTGGAATAATCAATTAACTGATGGATATTTTCTGTCCTTTGCTTTCCACATTTTTTGCTTGGAGCACAACAGGAGTGTCTGGAAACTGTAAAACCAGATCAAATTGTCTAAATATAACAAATGGAATTTATTATTAGGTTTTTTTAAAGTGTCTTTCGTTGTGCACATATTCATCCATCACTGGTAAATAGGAGGAGACAGGACAAAGAAGACTCACACTGTTACACACATGATGAATTTGCTGCTCTGAGGACACTCCCACCTGTTTCCCTTTTTCTGGATGCTGTTCTCATGAATGAGCTCAGACACAAAGACCCAGAAGGAAACAGAAACAGGGAAGACCCATTTCATCACGTTAAGTCGTAAATACGGTAACAATTTAATGGAGCAATGTGCAAATGATGTGAATTAATCACTCTTTCCTTCTCTATTTGTATTAAACTCATCCAAACTGATTTTTTGTAACAACTACTGACCCTGAATCATATAACTAATTATTTGTTAATAAATAGCTGGTTTTTGTACATTTATTTTTATTTTATATATATTTTTTGTTTTCATATGCATACTTTAAAGGCTGTGTAGTTTCATAAATTTAAATGCTGTTATAAGGTCTAAGTTGCCATTTTGTTTACATTCTCCTAGCTAGATATTGTATGCTAGCTCGGTCCAGCTAGAACAGTATAAGTAAAGTTCAGTCGTTTTAATTTGAACCAGAGAACGCTGAAATAGAAAGCAATGAATAAATAAATAACAAAGGAAAAATGATAGTCGGGAGAACCAAACAATGGAAGAGGAGAGATTTGGCCAAAATAAGGTGATATTTGTGCGGATGCTAACTGGAAATGCTAACTGGAAAGGAGAGAATATAGAGCTCTAAATTTTAACTCAAACTGTTATTAGGATTAAAACATTTTCTCATATGTATCAGAATGCAGCTATAAAGCATTAAAAATGCTTCATTGTCACTTTTTATCTTTCAGTTTGCTGTGATTTCACGTTAGCTCCTGCTAACAGTGTTAGCTGCTGCTATGAGTTATAACATTTAATTTCTCACTAGGATCAATAAGGTATTTTTGAATTTGAATTATGCAGTTTTACCTGAGTAATGATTCTAACTTCGTCATTTCTCAGTTTATGCTATTGATTATTGATTAAACATTCAGCAGCCTTCATTCTGATCTGAGGCAGTGCTGTAAAACTCATTCATTCAGACCTGCGCTTGCTTTCATCTGAAATTAAATCTGCCCCTTCTCCGTAATCCCTGTCCTCATCTGCACAGCATCCGCTCCATCCCGCTCTGACAGCCAGACACTCCCACAGTGAGCTCATCCCGGTCCAGTTTCCTCCGGAGGAGCGACATGTGGACCTGGTGGGACTCCTCACCCAGAGGCCATCTGGACTGCCGAGTTGCTAACAAGCAGATGATGGATGTACCATCGTCTCCTCCTTCCCTATTTGTTCTCTGTTTCTGTATTTATTTAACTGAAGCTTTTCTCGTCAGGTCAAAGTTCTGTGTCAGCTCCCTCGTTCATTCACTGCTCTGCCATGTTTTATTCATTCATTGATTTTCTTCACCCGCCACGTCTTTGGCAGGGGGATGTGGAGCTGGAAACTGTCCCAGCATGCATTGAGAAAAGACAGAAACAGCAGCAGATTTACTCAGATCTTTGTTTGTTTCCACCATAAAGCTAGCTACAGAAAGGATAAGAATAAAAACAATAGAGCTGAGGAAGAATGCATGATGGTGCATGAAGGCCATTATAGACAGAAAAAAATGAGTACGAATGTGCAAAACACTCAGAAAGTTTGAGAAATTTTCTATAAAAAAAAGGACATTTCTGAGTTTGAAAAGTCAAAAATTTGCTTGAAAAAAAACAACTAGCGAAACATGAGAAATCACAAAAAGATATTTTGTATTTCTGATTTTCAGAAATTTTTGAGAAAAAAAATTTCTGGGTCAAAAGTCAAAAATTGTCTAGAAAAAAAACTTATAAATCTCTAAATTCTTTTCTAGAAAATTTCAGAGATTAAGCTTAAAATTTCTAAGTTTAAAAAAGCGAAAATTTGCTAAAACAAAAACATACATTTTTTGATTAATCTCTGAAAAAGCATAGACAGAACAGGAAAAAAGTTGCTAGAAAACACTCAGAAATTTTTAGATTAACCTCAGAAATCTAAAAAAAAAAGAAGAAACTTGTAGAATTCTGAGTTTGAAAAGTAGAAAATGTTAAACTTTTGAAACTCAGAAATTTCCTTGTGTTAAAAGAATCTTATGATCCGGGATATAGACGTTTGATAATATGTAATGCTTTAATTTTGTTTCTCTACCAAAAGCTCTTGGAACCTTGTTAGAGTGAATCACGAAATCTTTGAATTATCA